AAACATTTTGGTCAAAATTGGGCAGTTTTTATTGAATAACTATGCATATGTAACTTATACTTACACCAAACTTAACACCTAATTGTAAGTTGTACCAAAATTGCAAAAAAAAAAAAAAAAAAAACAACTTAAAAGTTAAGTATGTTTTTCTATCAAGTAAAGTTTCCCTACTTTCGGTGCGAAGAGAAAAAAAGGAAGAACTTCAATCAAAATTGGATATTTTATATTTCGTGTATTTCTTAATGGATTGCCTTGAAATATGGTGTGTGAAGTAAGGGTCCAGTAGAGCACATTCACTGAAAATATGTGATAGCTTGGATTATCACAGTCCGAGCTACAGAAAGTGGAAAATCGTTAAATTATCGTTCCTGTTAATAACACACAGTGTGTCCTTCAGGTTGTTTTATTTTTTATTTTTGCCGCAAGACACACTACCGTTTTGATTGAGTAGTGAGATCTGAGCGTCACTTTTTTTAGAATACACTGGTGGCCTAAATGTGAGGCATGATTTTGTAGCACAGCGAAGCGAACCACGAACCCTCAGACACATTAACCGCTATGCCATGCTCAGACCTGTTCTTGTAGCAGAGTTTGACTCCTTTAATTTCTTTAGAAAGACAAATACCACGCAGTGTGTGTCTAGAAGTTTCTGTCGATCATGTCCAACAAACAATATTGAAATTTCCTCGTGACGGATAACAGCTCTTTAAAATGATTATGAAAGTATCCACCCTATTCAAACTGTCAAAAATTAGTTCATTCGTATGACAAAGGCTTCAGTCATCTTCTTCAGTTTGTACGTTTGAGTTTCTTTAAAATAATTCACTTGAACCACTGATGACAATAATAAACCAATTATAGATCATTTTCCTTGGTGAGTGGATTGTTATTGAAGAATACATCTTTTAGCACCTTCTAGAATCAATGTGACGGTGAATTTTAATTGCAGATTTGGCAGTTTATCAGGCATATTTGCTCTAGTTGTAAAAGCATAAAGATCAACGACTGATTATTTGTTTATAGTTTAAGCACAAAGCTACACAATGGGGTACCTGTGCTCTTCTCACCACGGATATCAAAACCCGGTTTCTAGCGTTGTAAGTCCACAGACATATCGCTGTGCCACAGGTGGACAATTAATTATTACCTACACTTTTATCCATATTTTAACTCTACTTCATTCTCTCTATATATACAATATGAAAAGTAGTTTGATTCAATTGTAAGCGTGCATGAAATACAGATTTGCTGTTTCGAAAAATGTATGGCCCTGTGAACTGACAATGACTTAAAATTTTATAATCTGTATTATTAATTTTATGATAATTCATTTGCGATGGTTATCTTTGTAATAGTATAAAATTTATCAAGCACGTTATTAAACTTATTGGTCCCATTGGCTTAGTGTAAATATCATGGCTACATTCGGGAGTCAGAACTCACGAGGGTCACATTCCAAGTTCAGTGTGTGGTTCCTATTTGTGAACACAGTCGAGATAAGAACCTCGTGTTTTCTGGGATAGAGAAAATAATTTCTAAAAAAAATGTTTGTGTAAACATATTTGTTTTGTTTCAGTTTTGTCGCATCCACATTTCTCTTAAAATAACTTTAAAGTGAGATTATTAAATCTAGAATTTCACTTTAAAATATCAATAAACACAAAAACAGGAAAATTTATGTAATCTTCCTTACAATGTTGCCTCAAACAGCAAAGAAGAAACACTTTAGAAACATAAATAGTCGAAGAAACTGTTTTAAGGTGAGTTCAAATATTCAGGTAACAGTTTGATGTGATACGTTAAAACTGAGGTCACAAGTTGAATGAATGACTTCTTAGTTTTGGAAAAATACTAGTAATTTTGAAATAAAATTTATCATGACGATGATCCAAAAGTAAAATATCTCACAATTGGCAGTTTGAAGATACAGATAGAAATTACTTGTTCTTTAAATAGATAAGTAATTTATGTTTGTCAAGTAAAACACTGAAAACAAAAGGACCAAGAATGCAACCGATCTAACTTGAAGTATACTATATATATATGTGTGTGTGTATAGTATGTCCACTGAGATTCAGATCTGAAAATTTTAACCACCTTTCAGATGGCATATTTAATTTATGAGTGAGAATTTTTAAAAAAATGTAAAAAGTATCTTTGTTTTGCATAATAAAGTATAATCCAATAAGACAAGATATGGTCAAATCTTTAACGACAACAAAACAATTTGTAACCAATGGTATCCTTGTGGTCGACAGTTAGTCATTCCATGAGCAAGACATGTTACATTTATTCCAAGTTTTTAACCAAAGTTTTGGGTCATTGCTCATGATTTGTTTTCAGATATTTTCATTCATTGTTGAATAACCAGACCTAGTATCCATACGACCTACAAGCTACACACCACTAATTTTTAGTTTTAGATGTTTCACATCCATTTTGGTTGTAGTTGAATAACTAATGGTGGGTTTACTTTCAAGTGATTCGAAATATCCTTCTTTGACCACTGCTTAGCAGATTTGATGGCAGCAATACAAGAACAGCAAAAGAAACAAGAAAAACGATAAAATAAACAAGAAGGGAGATTACAGCAGTTGTTGGAGGAAAAAGAAAATAAACAAGAAAGAGAAAAGAAACAAGTAAAGAGATTACAGCAGTGGCAAGAAAACCTGCAACAGTGGCAGCTCGAATAGCAAAATAAACAAAAGAGATTACAGCAGTTGTTGTAGGAAAAAAGAAAAGAAACAAGAAGAACGAAAAAAGAAACAAGAAGAGAGACTACAGCAGTGGCAACTGGAACAAGAAGTACAAATGGAAAAGCTTAGTAAATTTCAAAGTGAATTAAATACCTTAAAGGATGATTTACTGTCTTTTACACAAGGAGGATATATCAGCCATGAACCTAATCAGCCTCAGACAATGGAAAGTCCCTCAGACCCTGCAGCTAAACCCGAATGCAGACATCTTCAGTCCTGTCAGAAGTCACATTCCAGACATGAGTGTCAGCAATAGGAGTACAAAGGAAGCCACGGGAATTCGATGGGAAGGCACTGTGGAAAGCATATAGAGCACAATTTGAGCTCCTGGCAAAAAT